AGAAATCATCTAATATAAAAAATAATTTTACTAAGAGCTCCTTGATAATTCAGCACTAGTTCTTCCTTTAGTCCTCTTTAAGAGAGTAATGATAATAGGAATGATCATTGCTAACTTTTTTTAGGTCTTTTTGTTTTTGTTTTTAGTTTTATGTTGTTTTTTTGAGATGAAGTCTCACTCTGTTGTTCAAGCAGGAGTGCAGTGGCACAATCTTGGTTCATTGCAACCTCTGCCTACTGAGTTCAAGCGATTTTCCTGCCTCAGCCTCCCAAGTAGCTGGCACTGCAGGCATGCGCCACCATGCCTGGGTAATTTTTGTATTTTTAGTAGAGACAGGCATTCACCATGTTAGCCAGACTGGTCTCGAACTCCTGACCTTAGGCAATCAGCCTGCCTCAGCCTCCCAAAGGGCTGGGATTATGGGCCTGAACCACCAAGCCTGGCCAAGGCCTTATTGTTTTTAGCCCTTTATGTCATTCCATCCTTGCAACAACCCTATGAGGTGTTAATGATTATCAGCTTCACTTATAGATGAGGCAACTGAGGCACAGAGAGGTTAATCATGTGATAATCATCACATAGCCAGCAAGTAAGATTCAGGAAAGTCTGCTCTCTCACATTCTCTTTCTCCCTCCATTTCTCTCTTCATCTCTCCTCCCTCTTTCTCAACCCTATTAATAATTTTTACATTTAATAACATTTTTATCATAAATGTAGAAGCTGTAGAAAATCAAGAGAATACACATAAGTATACAGAAGAAAGTCAGAATCATACTAAACATTACTTTTAATGTTTGACATTATAAATGGTTTTTAAGGTGTGTGTGTGTGTGTGTGTGTGTGTGTGTCAAAGAGAAGGGGGAGAGAGAGGGAGAGAGAGCTCATGTATGCAAAAGAGTTTATAAAAAGCAAATAATTTTCCTCCAGAAAAGTGGAACTACTTTGTGCACTCATCAGTGGTGCATATGAATGCCCATTTTTTACTGATTTATACAATATCTTATATATTATGATAATTATATTGTCTTTTTCTGTTTTTATCTCTATTTTTCCTACATTCATCAATTATCTTTCAAATATGCTTTATATGAGTGTTTTTCTGCCATAACCAAGTTTTAAATTGCTTTGCCATATTTTTTACTTATAATTCTGTTTTGGTGTCATTTTTCAGGAATATTACTTTCATCTCAAGATTATATAAATGCATATCTATGTATTCCTCAAATACTCTTTTACCCATTGTGAGGCAGTTATCACAGACCATTTATAGAAGAGTTTGTTCCTTCACTATCAATTGAAAATACTTCTTCATATATAAAATTCTTACCAACACTTACATTTATTTATGAAATTTTTATTTGTTCTTTTGGTACATGTTTGTTATAAAAATAAATTATCAATGTTCATAATACTTTTTAATATCTGAAAGTTAAAATCCTTTTTAATTATTCATCTTCTTCAAAATCATCTTAGCTATTATCATTGGTTTGTTCTTTTATCTCAAGAAAGGACAGTCTGAGTATGGAGCAGAGTGAGCATACATTATCTATGCATACCTTTGGTTGGTGCAATTACTTATCCATCAACCTAATACTGTAAGTCTGTAGGTAAGCTCTAACTTGCTGATTGTATCTACCTAAGAAAAGGATGTACCTCTGTGTTATTAGAGAATTGAAATATTTACTTTGACCTTTGTTCTAGTTCAAGATCCATCATAATTTGATGCTGGTTTTCCATTGACCCAGAGTACCCAAAGTCAACCAAACTGAAGAAAAAATGGCTTGTGTAGCTTACATCTTCATGGCCCTAGGTGGTTTGATCTACATAAATACTAGGTCTGTATCTACACCTGCCTAGAGGTAAGGATGCCTGACTGTCTATAGGGGTGATGCTGTCTCATGAACTCCCTCAAATTAACCCATGAAAATATTACTTTTCACATTTCTACCCACAGGTATAACTGTCACTCATGGTTATTTGCAAGCAATCCATGACGACAACACCCAACCTCTATTGAACAATTGCTGTGTACCTAATTGTGTGCTAAGCTTTTGCCTGAATTTTCACTTATAACCTTCCCAGTAACCTGGGAAGTTCAAAGCTTTTGTTGTCCTTATGTTATTAGGACATTAATCAAGCTTAATGTTTTTATGTCACTGGTACAAGTTAGTAGAAGAAGAAGGTATTGGAACTAAAACTCCAAAGTCTGAACATTACTAAGCTGTTTCCCAAACACCCTAAAATTGAGGCAATAGCTGGGGTCAAGAGTGAGCTGCACTAGCCTCCTTCTGGAATGCTTTGTATGAAGGCTTCCCTGAGAAGACTTGTTCCATAACTATATTGAGCACTCATGCTCTGTCTGCCTCAAAATATTATCAGAATTTATGATATTATTGTTAAATCCAGTTTGGATATGTTATATTAAATAAATTCTTCTTAAAGTAGGATAAGTTATTAAAAACAGGGAAAGTAATTTTTCTAAAGGGTAAAATAAGAAATATTTTAAATCTACATAGATAATAATCAGTACAGGACTCTTATCCATCAAATATATTTTGGAAGGATGCCATTTAAGAATTTATAATTTTTTTTAGACAGAGTCTTGGTTGCCCAGGCTGGAGAGCAGTGGCACAATCTCAGTTCTCTGCAACCTCCACCTCCTGGGTTCAAGGGATTCTCCTGCCTCAGCCTCCCAAGTAGCTGGGATAACAAGCCTGTGCAACCATGCCCAGCTAATTTTGGTATTTTTAGTGGAGATGTGGTTTTGCCATGTTGGCCAGGCTGGTCTCAAACTCCTGACCTCTGGTGATCCACCCACTTCAGCCTCCCAAAGTTCTAAGATTATAGGCATGAGTTACCACACCTGGCCTCAGCTTTCATAATTTTAAAGCAACAGTTATATAATGAATCTTCAGAGGTCTTTTTAAAGAAAAACAATGATCTTAATTAGTGATCTTTACATATAAATAATACTCTCAGCATTTCTTTTTTTTATTGCATTTTAGGTTTTGGGGTACATGTGCAGAACATGCAAGATAGTCGCATAGGTACACGTGTGGCAGTGTGTTTTGCTGCCTTCCTCCCCTTCACCCACATTTAGCATTTCTCCCCATGCTATCCCTCCCCAGCTCCCCCCCGTGCTGTCCCTCCCCTATTCCCCCCAATAGGCCCCAGTGTGTAGTGCTCCCTTCCCTGTGTCCATGTGTTCTCTTTGTTCATCACCCACCTATGAGTGAGAATATGCGGTATTTCATTTTCTGTTCTTGAGTCAATTTGCTGAGAATGATGTTCTCCAGATTCAACCATGTCCCTACAAAGGACATGAACTCATCATTTTTGATTGCTGCATAATATTCCATGGTGTGTATGTGCCACATTTTCCCAGTCCAGTCTATCATCGATGGGCATTTGGGTTGGTTCCAGGTCTTTGCTATTGTAAACAGTACTGCAATGAACATTCGTGTGCATGTGTCCTTATAGTAGAACGGTTTATAATCCTTTAGATATATACCCAGTAATGGGATTGCTGGGTCAAATGGAATTTCTATTTCTAGGTCCTTGAGGAATCGCCACACTGTCTTCCACAATGGTTGAACTAATTTACACTCCCACCAACAGTGTAAAAGTGTTCCTATTTCTCCACATTTTCTCCAGCATCTGTTGTCTCCAGATGTTTTAATGACCGCCATTCTAACTGGTGTGAGATGGTATCTCAATGTGGTTTTGATTTGCATCTCTCTAATGACCAGTGATGATGAGCATTTTTTCATGCTTGTTGGCCTCATGTATGTCTTCTTTTTAAAGTGTCTGTTCATATCCTTTGCTCATTTTTGAATGGGCTTGTTTGTATTTTTTCTGTAAATCTGTTTGAGTTCTTTGTAAATTCTGGATATCAGCCCTTTGTCTGATTGGTAAACTGCAAAAATTTTTCCCCATTCTGTTGGTTGCCGATTCACTCTAGTGACTGTTTCTTTTGCCGTGCAGAAGCTGCGGAGTTTGATTAGGTCCCATTTGTCTATTTTGGCTTTTGTTGCCAATGCTTTTGGTGTTTTGGTCATGAAGTCCTTGCCTATTCCTATGTCCTGAATAGTTTTGCCTAGATTTTCTTCTAGGGTTTTTATGGTGCCAGATCTTATGTTTAAGTCTTTAATCCATCTGGAGTTAATTTTAGTGTAAGGTGTCAGGAAGGGGTCCAGTTTCTGCTTTCTGCACATGGCTAGCCAGTTTTCCCAACACCATTTATTAAACAGGGAATCCTTTCCCTTTTGCTTGTTTTTGTCAGGTTTATCAAAGACTGTATGGTTGTAGATATGTTGTGTTGCCTCCGATCCCTCTGTTCTGTTCCATTGGTCTAATCTCTGTTTTGGTACCAGTACCATGCTGTTTTGATTATTGTAGACTTGTAGTATAGTTTGAAGTTTGGTAGTGTGATGCCTCCTGCTGTGTTCTTTTTGCTTAGAATTGACTTGGCTATGCAGGCTCTCTTTTGGTTCCATATGAAGTTTAAGGTGGTTTCTTCCAGTTCTGTGAAGAAAGTCAGTGGTATCCTGATGGGGATAGTGTTGAGTCTGTAAATTACTTTGGGCAATATGGCCATTTTCACGATATTGATTCTTGCTAACCATGAACATGGAATGTTTCTCCATCTGTTTGTGTCCTCTCTTATTTCATTGAGCAGTGGTTTGTAGTTTTCCTTGAAGAGGTCCCTTACATTCCTTGTGAGTTGTATTCCTAGGTATTTTATACTCTCAGCATTTCTATGGCATATTTTTTAAAAATTATCAGTCAACTTTTTAAATACATTTTTTAATTCTCATGATACCCTATGAATTAATGAAGAAACTGAAGCATTGTCCAGGTACATGTTGACAATTCAAGAATAAAAGTTGTGGTCTTTCTACCAGAACAGTAAAACATTTCTCCTTTTTCAGTGCTCATTGGAGGAAAAGATGTACACATATGAAGAAGTTAATGTTATCATTTCACTTGAGTTAGCAATCCATTTTCTTGTCTCCTTTCTGATATTAGGGGCACAGTGCCAATGACTGGAGGAGGAAATATTACAGCAGTCACCCATTTCATCCTACTGGGATTCTCAGATTTTCCCAGAATCATTTCAGTGCTCTTCATTATATTTCTGGTGATCTACATTACAACTCTGGCCTGTAACCTTTCCCTCACTTTTATAATAAGGATGGATTCCCACCTCCATACACCCACGTATTTTTTCCTCAGTAATCTGTCCTTCGTAGATGTCTGCTATATCAGCTCCACCATCCCCAAGATGCTCTCCAACTTCTTACAGGAACAGCAAAGTATCACCTTTGTTGGTTGTATTATTCAGTACTTTATCTTTTCAACGATGGGGCTGAGTGAGTCTTGTCTCATGACGGCCATGGCTTATGATCATTACGCTGCCATTTGTACACCCCTGCTTTATTCATCCATTTTGTCACCCACCCTCTGTGTTCGGATGGTACTGGGAGCCTACATGGCTGGCCTCACTGCTTCTTTATCCCAAATTGGTGCTTTGCTTCAACTCCACTTCTGTGGGTCGAATGTCATCAGACATTTCTTCTGTGATATTCCCCAACTGTTAATCTTGTCCTGTACAGACACTTTCTTTCTACAGGTTATGACTGCTATATTAACCATGTTCTTTGGGATAGCAAGTGCCCTAGTTGTCATGATATCTTATGGCTATATTGGCATCTCCATCATGAAGATTACTTCAGCTAAAGGCAGGTCCAAGGCATTCAACACCTGTGCTTCTCATCTGACAGCTGTTTCCCTCTTCTATACATCAGGAATCTTTGTCTATTTGAATTCCAGCTCTGGTGGTTCTTCCAGCTTTGACAGATTTGCATCAGTTTTCTACACTGTGATCATTCCCATGTTAAATCCCTTGATTTACAGTTTGAGGAATAAAGAAATTAAGGATGCCTTGAAGAGGTTGCAAAAGAGAAGGTGCTGCTGAGTTTATGAATTCTGAGATTTCTGCCAGATTTAGCCTGTCAGAATCCCCTTAACCCACAAAATGACCATGAATGGACTATAACAGAATTCATACTTCCGGTTGCCTTTGGACAAAGAAGGCTTGATTTGATGCAGAAAATATGCCAATATGGATGAACAGATGACTTGATGCCATAGACATCAGAATCTTTAGGTCCTGGGGGTTCATTATTTTTACCCTACATCAGGTCTATCTAAAAGTATTTATGAAACAACAAGATTTAGAAATCTTTTATTTCTTGTGGATTCTCAGATTGAAGAGGGCTCAATGTTAGGACTTCATCCCTAGAGAAATGAGGCCTGGCAGAGACCCCCAGGAGTTCAGAAACATCATCTCCCATATATGCTGATACAGCATAATGAAGACATGGTGTTAACCATTAATTATTCTGTTTCTAGACAAGAGAGAATAAACAGACACAGGGGTTCTGTCACTGGAAAGGGGAAAAAGCAATATATTGGCCTGGTTGTGGCTTTAAGAAAGAGCAATCTGAAATAGGTGCAGTTTGCCTAAGACCTCTTTCAGCACTAATCATCTAATAAGTTTTTGGCAGTTTCCTTGCCTACACCAGCTGTAGCATAAAGAAGGAGGTGATTTTAATCCTGAAGTGGGATAGAAACAAGGATATCGTTCCTCCAATGACATTTACTTATGAGTTTGATGACTTGATTTCTTGTATCTAGCATCTAGTGGGAATTTGTAATGGTAGATGGTATTCAGAGTTCACAGCCAATAGCAGTATCTGATATTGTGAGACTCAAACTTTTCTTTTTCTCCCCCATTACATTTAGAAAATGTTCTCTTGTTTGACTGGGTAGCTTATTGAATCCAGGAGAGGAAAGAAACATGGGGCAAGGTATCTCAGTCAAACTCAACCTAGACAAGCTAACCTACAGTCATGTTTGGAGAAGTCATACATTTAAGCCTACTCTACATCAGCCAGTCTCAGCTGATCTCTAGTTGATCTGAGGATACATGAGTGACAATAAAAGAATGTTGCAACCAGATTTTGCAGTTTGTTATGCAGCAGTAGTTAACCAATATACTTCATAATTTAAAATTTTCTCCTAGACCAACTGCCTGGCTTCAAATTCAGGCTCTGCCATTCCCAAGAAGTGTGATACTGGGCAAACCACACACTCTTTTGTGCCTCAGTTTTCTCATCTGTAAAATGAGATATTATATATCTATTTTCCAGTTGTTTAAGTTGATTAAGTGAGTTGATACTTGTGGAAAACTCAGAATAGTGACTCCGGCATATAAAAAATACTATACATGGTTATGTATTATTATTTATTCTATGTTCAAAGAATTTAAATGGCTTCAGCTGAGCTAAGTTTTATTGTTATACCAACTTGATAGATGAATACACTTAAGTCAGAGGAATTAAGAAACACAGCTAATAAGTGAAGGGGTCAGAATCCAAATTAATATTGCAGATATCAAAGCCTCCTCCCTTCTTCAATACCCCTTAGTGTATAAGGTGCCAAATTGCCTATTAATATACAAGGTAAATATGAATAAAATACAGAAATATTTATGAGATGCAGCCAATGCTAAAATCAGAAGTAATAATCTTTTTAAAAGACATACAATAAAGTAACAAAACTGTGAATTGAAAGAATTGAAAAAAGAATGCCAATTCAAACCTTAAGAAAAATAGGGGAGGAGTGGGCAAGATGGATGACCAGAAGCAGCTAGTGTAAGTGGCTGTCATGGAAAGGAGAAGAAGGGGTGAGCATTAGGTCTTTGCAACCCTCAAGTCAGGAGATCTCCTTGTGAACCCACTCTACCAGGGCCTTCAGTCTTCAGTCTAAAACACAGAGCTGTGTGGAGTCTTGGCAGAGCAGCCACTCAAGGCATGTACGAAGACCTCAGAGGCTTAGATACTTGGGTTTTCTGGTAAAAGTAGCTACAGCTCCAGCAAAGTTGGTTGGACTCCCGTATATACCCTGAGGAAAGAGGCTGAATCCAGGGGGCAGAGCAGCAGCAACCCACAGGCCCCACTTCCTTGGTACCTCACAAGATAAAATCCATTGGCTTGGAATTCCAGGCACCTACCAGTAGTGGCATTGCACTTACCTAAGGAGGAGCTCAAAGGGGAAAGGTGTACTGCCATCTTTGCTGTTCAGATGCCTTAGCCGTTCCAGCCTTCAGGAAGAACAGCATTAGCTGTTCTTGAAGCTGACCCAGAGTGGAAGAGATCACCCAGCCTAGAACAGCACAGCTGCTCTACCAAAACGTGGCCAGACTGTGCTTTAGGTGGGTGCCCAATCCCATCGTTTTCACTAGGCAGGACCTCCCAACTGGATCCTGCAGCCACCCCCACCCAAGCTCTCCAGGTATCAAAGATCCGAATTCTCCCTGAGAAGCACTCCCAGAGGGAGAAGTGAGTTACCATCTTTGCTGTTTTGGTGACTTAGCAACTCCAGCCTTTGGACTTTGAAGTGTCTGAGGTGACTGGGGACTGAAGTAGACCCCCAGCAAAGCACAGCTACTCTACCAAAACCTGGCCAGACTGACTATTTTTTAAGTGTATCCCAATCCTGTTCCTTCTCATTGGGTGGAACCTCTCAACTGGGGTTTTCCTACTGCTGCCTTTGGGCCAGCAAAAGGTGCATACCTCCCTGGGACAAAGCTCTCAGAAAAAAGGACAGGTCACCATCTTTGCTGTTTCATAGCCTTTACTGGTGACACTTCCAGGTTCTGGAAAATCTGAGGTCACTATGTACTGGAGTAGGCCCCAAGCATATAGAAGCAGCCCTATGGAAAAGTGGCCAGAGTGTTATGTGGGTTCTCATTCCCATATCTTCTCACCAGGAAAGTCCTCAGGCCTGGGCCTCTAGCCACTCCCTGCCAGAGCTATCAAGCCATTACCAAATCAGCAACTCCCTAGACAGATCTTCCAGGGACAACTGAAAGCCTCTATGCCACTGCCTCTGCAGTGGAACTGCCCTTGCCATCCTCAGACCAATGAAGGATCAAAGACTTTAAGTGCCTTATCCATTCCTCTAACAATCTGCAGTCAACCCAAGGAGAAGAAGCTGATTTTCTCTCACGGGTCCCACACAACCTCCCTCGCCACAGCTCATCACCAGACCGGGAACCCCTGGCTTGGACCCAAAACACATACCCTCCATCAGTGCAATCACTTACTGCATTGAGTGATTGCTGACCTGCATCTCTCTGAGGTGGAGCCCCCCAGGAGTCAAACAAATGACCCTTGGCTACAACCACTACTAAGATCTCTTCCTTTGCTGTCTCTAAGCTGAGGAAGGAACATAAACATGAGATAACCCCAGAGCTGCAGTGGGCAACCCAGGAGTGCTGAATCATGAACTACAGCCAACACTCAGGGGAAAGGAACCCACACTTTCAGAGTACTGAGAGGGAACACAGATGCAACTGTGAGGAAACATACAGGAACCAGCCACACAACTGAGCAAGAGTCTTCCAACGGGCCAGTAAGCCTAGGGATCCCCTGCTGAATTACATCTCAAAGCTTCAACACAAAAATATCTCACTAACATACCCTCCTCGGAAACCAGAGATTAGAAGTCAGCTTCAAATAAAGATTCTATACAAAGCCTTGGCCCAGTGAAAACATCCAGAATATAAGTCAGTAGACTACTCAAACTACTCTGCAGTTAAAGGAACACTCCCATGCAGAGATGAGAAAGAGCTGATGTAAGAACTATGGTAACTCAAATGGCCGAAGTATCATATATCCTCAAAATGATCACACAAGTTCTCCAACAAAGGTTCTTAACCAGGCCAAACTGGCTGAAATGACAGAAATAGAATTCAGAATATGGATAGAAAAAAAGATCATTGAGATTCAGGAGGGTGGCAAAATCCAGTCCAAGAAAAATAAGAATCACAATAAAGTGACACAGAAGCTGAAAGACAAATTAGCCAGTATAAAAAATAACCTAATGGGTCTGACAGAGCTGAATAACACAAGAATTTCACAATGCAATCACAAGTATTAACAGTAGAATAAACCAAGCTGAGGAAAGAATCTCAGAACTTGATAGTTGGTTCTCTGAAATAAGACAGACACAAATGAAGAAAATAAAAAGAAATGAACAAAACATCCAAGAAGCATGGGTTATGTAAAGAGGCCAAATATACAATTAATTCACATCCCTGAATGGGAGGGGAAGAAATAAAACAACTTGGAAAATATATTTCAGAATATTGTGCATGAAAACATCCTCAACCTTGCTAGAGAAGCCAAAAGTCAAATTCAGGAAATAGATTCTACACAAGAAAATAATCCCCAAGACACATAATCATTATATTTTTCAAGGTCAAAATAAAAGAATGTTAAAAGGCAGCTGGAGAGAAAGAGTGAGTTATCTACAAAGGGATCCCCATCAGGCTAACAGCAGACCTCTCCACTAGTACCCTACAAGCCAGAAGAGATTGGGCTTTTATCTTCAACATTGTAAAAAACAAAAACAAAAACAAAAAAAAAACACCTCAACCAAGAATTTTATATCCAGCCAAACTAAGCTTCCTAAGTGAAGGAATAATACAATCTTTCTCAGATAAGCAAATGTTGAGGGACTTCATTGCTACCAGACACCAGACCTTTTTTACAAGAGATCCTGAAAGGATCAGTAAATATAGAAAAGAAAAACTGCTACAACCTAATACAAAAACACAGTTAAACAGAGAGACCAGTGTCACTATAAAGCAATCACACAAACAAGTCAACATAATAACCAGCTGACAGCACAATGACAAAATCAAACCCGCATATATCAATATTAACATTGAATGCAAATGGGCTAAATGCCCCACTTAAAAGGCATAGAGTGGCAAGCAGGATAAAAAAGCAAGACCCAATAGTATCCTGTCTTCAAGAGACCCATCTCACATGTAATGACACTCATAGACTCAACATAAAGGGATGGAGAAACTTCCATGGCTGATTTGTTACTGTTGTTGCCAAATACCACAGACTGAATCAAAATTGTAAAAATTTCTATTCTAACCAATTAATGTATGAATTACATAAACTACCAATCAAAATCATGGCATATCTGCTGTGGAAACTAAAAGTAGTTATGAAATTAATACAGAAAAGAGCAAAGTATTTCTGAGATATTCTTGCCCTTACAAATATCAGTGTATTAGGAAGCTGTTTAAGTGACATAAGCAAGATGAGGAGTTAGAGATCTCAGCTCCCATCACCCACAGAAAACAATTGGACAGCTACCTGTGAATGAAAATTGCAGGCCGGGAGCGGTGGCTCATGCCTGTAATCCTAGCACTTTGGGAGGCCGAGGCGGGTGGATCACGAGGTCAGGAGATCGGGACCATCCTGGTCAACATGGTGAAACCCCGTCTCTACTAAAAATACCAAAAAAAAAAAAAAAATTAGCTGGGCATGGTGGCGCGTGCCTGTAGTCCCGGCTACTCAAGAGGCTGAGGCAGGAGAATTGCCTGAGCCCAGGAGGCGGAGATTGTGGTGAGCCGAGATTGAGCCATTGCACTCCAGCCTGGGTAACAAGAAAAAAGAGACGAAACTCCATCTCAAAATAAAAAGAAAATCGCACTAGGAGGGCTCTGGAGTCCATTTAAGAAGCTGCAGCAATACAGTGAAGAAAAGAAATGAACATGTGAGTTCTCCAGAGAGACAAAGACCAATAGAATACATCAGAGGAGTTCCTGATATATCCTGAACTCTTTAAAATTGTTGGAAAAATATTCTCTATATATACATCTTTTTTGATCAAAGCTTTACATCATTTGGATTCACAAGAAGGACCATGAGATAACCACTGTGATAAGTTGAGGCTGTTATCTTGTAGACATTTTTTTTCATATCTCTGTGTTACCTACACAGTTTGGTTCTTTTGTTTTAATATTTGTGTGTATGTGAAGTATTCTTTTTTCTTTTAAACAAAGGTGAGACTAGACTTTCTCTGAATATGCTGTTCTGCAACTTGTTTTTTTGTTGACTAAAGATAGCCTTGCATGTCAGTA